AGATACGAGTACTTATATATGTTTGTGTGTTATGAAAACAAGTTAATCAAGTTTAAAATTGGTTACATTAATTTCTCACATGAAAGATGCAACCCAAAATGATTTTTTTTCCAATACTCGACCCTACCCGACCCGTTCATGCATGGTTTGCCAACTTATTTTGAGTACCGCGGGTTGGTTAATAGTCAACCCGAACAAATCGGGTAGGCCCAAAAAATATAGCAAACCCGACCCAACCCGCCCGATGTGCAGTCCTAATGCCAATTATTGACCCCTTCACAAATTATTTCTGATTTTGTTCCTTCCTATTTTTGAAAAACAGAGGACGAGAGGGATATGTCGTTCATTATGTGATTCATTCATCACATTATGCACATTTGTGCGGCACAAATGGCATCTACTCTTGGTGCTGATGTTTGTCTTGCTTGAGCTTGCTTTATTTTTTCTTACCGTTTTTCTGGCATCACCGGATTTCAGAGAGTTGGACCATATTGAGCACTGTAAGGAATAAATGTATTTAGATTTTGATGATGTTAGGTTAATTAGAACATTAGAGTACCCCCACTAGAATTGATGTATTAGAATTTTCTAAGTGTAAGCATTCTAGAGTAGTCGACTGACAGAAGACCTACATGCCCTCTGTTGGCTGCTTACCTGACAGAAGCGCCACTGCCCCTCTGTTGGACTTCTACTGGACAGAAGAGCTCAAGTCTCTCTAAAGACTGCTTCTCTATTCAACGCAACAGAAGACCTAACACTTAGATGTTTTACAAGCTACCTCGTCGAAGTACCTAATGGAAGATTCCCTCAACGGTTAGCTTATACTCAACAGAAATGCTACAGGACAACATTTAATGCTCGTTTAATGAGCTCTACACTCTGAAGAGTTAAAGCTGATGATTGATCGAGATTCCTGGAATGTCTATCCCAAAATAGTAAGCCGCCAAACTTGCGGGTCCAACCGGTCAACTCAACAGTACGTGCATTCAATGCAGTTGTCTCCTCCTCCAACGGGAAGACAACCCTAGTATAAAAGATACATGATGAAGAACAACCGGATAACTTTTGCTCTCTCTACAATACTCAAAAGCTTTCTTGAGATTCAACCTCCACCTTCATAAACAAGAAAAGCTTACGTTGGAAGAATAATATTTTCTCATAATCTTCATACTTCAACAAGAGCAAAGTTCCTAAAGTTCTTCAACAACTTCAAGCACTTCATTTACAAATCTTTTGTGACGAAGCAAGTTGGAGAAAAACTCTGTTTTTCTACAGAACATCTTCTGCAAAGAAGAACGTCTTAAAGTAGCTGGAGTAGTGAAGTGGTGATACTTGAAGGAGACCCAGTAAAACAAGACCAGTCTTAAAGGAAGCAAGGAAGTGTGTCCCAGGAGACATCTACACTTGAAGAAGACATGGAGAGCTTCTTAAGTGCTAGGACTTAAGTCTTGTAATTGGTTTTAGGGGTGGGCATGGGTCGGGACGGTTCGGGATTAGGGTTATCCCGGTCCCGTCCCAATTAATAATAACGGGACGGTACGGTACGGGACAAGCCTTTGTCCTAGTCTTGTCCCATTTAAATCGGGACCGGGATGGTTCGGAACGGTTCGTGACGGTTCGTGACGTCCCAAACAAACAAAAAATAATCATTTGTAATTAATATATATATATATTAGCATTTCTAAAGTATCATGCACCAAAATATTAACATTTTAAAAGTTAATTGATATTCATCACAAGCTAAAAGCTACCACGTATTAGATTTTAGTTAGGTTTAACAAAATTTGAAATTTAAATTTAAAACAAAGCAAAAATGAATTAGTTTATTCAAAATCATGTGTTCTAGCTGTGAGATACTCATATGTAGATATAGAAAGTGGGATAAAAATCTATGTTAGTAAATATTCATGTTAGGTATTATTTTTAATTTAAAATTGGGCTTGAAGAACTAAAAACATGTTACCATTTATTTTTTGAGTTGACATTACACACTAGTCACATGCCACAAAATCTATATAGTTATTACAAACGGGACAACGGGACGGTTCGGGATAACCTTCCAATGTCCCAGTCCCGTCCCGTTTTAAACCGGTTCGGGACCGGTGCGGGACAAAATCAATGAGACCCAAAAGGAACGGGACAACACCGGTACGGTTTCGGGATATACCGGAATGGGACAACGGGACCGGGATTCTTGCCCGCCCCTAATTGGTTTACTATAAGCATAGTGGAACAGTGGATTAGAGGAACGAGTTGTTCCTTGAACCACTATAAAAATCCCTGGTGTCATTTACTTACTGCTTTTATTTTTAAACTGATGAACTCCACAGAAGTGGTATCTGTGTTCAGCAGAACACCTCTTGTGAGTTAACAGAAGGTCTAATGCCTTTGCTCCTCTGTGAGGCTATCCCGACAGAACCCCTACCAAAAGACCTCCGCTGCCAGTCTGTTCCCAACAGAACAGACTATTCTGTTAACCGTGGTACTATACTTAGCTTGAAAAAGTTAAAAACCATAACAGTCTATTCACCACCCCTCTAGACTGTTACCTCAATAACTGGGACCAACAAGCGCTTTTCGGTGTTGCTGCTTTTACAAGTCTGGTTCTTGTGATGTTAGCCATGACAGACATATTGGTGGAATTCGTGGCCTTGATTCGTCCGACCTAACCTTGATTGTATTGGAGGTTGTAGTCAGAATGTCACGTGGGACATTCCTCTGGCGTTTGTAGTTACCTTCCAAAAATTATTTGACGGTCTTCCCAGTTGAATTTTTAACTGAAATATTTTGTGGATAAACTAGACTTGATGAGGAACATCATCACAAAATTTCATCAAAAAATTCCACCAAGAACTACCCTAAAAAGCGGAGGCCGAACCAGGGCCGACTTTGGGAATTTTGGTGCCCCAGATGGAAAAAGAATTTAGATAATACTTTAAATCGATATTAAAATTAATTATTAAATAAAGAAAAATTGAAAGAACGTAATTACTACCAAAGCTAAATATTGAAATTCACATTCACATTATCTGCATTTGAACCTTCATTACCGTCACTTGAACCGTGATTCTTATTTTCATTTTCGACATCAATATTTTGATGCTAATTTATCATTTGTCTCTAAATTCTTGTTTGACACCGAAAGAGAATGTTTTGTTACATACATGTCCGTATCCATAGAACCCTCAAGACATTATTATACAACTTCATCCCTTTTTTTCTTAAGCTTTCTCTTAGAAGCCCCAAACTCTTGCTCCCATTTCCCGTCATAGCAAAAACTGCAAAATAGTAATGAAGCACTAATTATTTATACTATAATCATAAATTAGTAAATATAATTATTAAAGAGAAAATTTCAGAATAACTTTCAAAAAATAACTTCAAGTATAAATAATAAACTCGTAACACATTTTTACAAAGAAAAATCGCAATCGTTACTATGTAAATTAAAATCAATTACAACAATAACATTACAATAAGTAAATAACTCACCTTTGTTATGTTGTGCCTCTTGACCCTCTTATCTGGTTTTTCGAGAAACAGAAGCCTACATCAGATATATTACTTGAAAGAAAGAAAGAAGAATAAAGATGAATATTGTCACTCATTAATACTTATGGCTGAATTCGTTGTTGGTGATTGCTAAACAATTAATTAAAAGAATTAAAGGGCGGCGGCTATGTAGATTTGGTTTCCGAAGTGTTTCAAGTTCCAACTGAAAAGACTTTTGGTTTCTTCTTAATTTACTCCTTATTAATCCGTACATTATTTGTGATGATAGTGGGAGTAATTAAAATTTAGTGGATAGTTATACGATTGGCCTGGGAGAGTGGGAGTAATTAAATTTAGTTTTTAATTAAAAGAATGCAAAATGAAATGTTTAAGGCAACATGTCAAACACTTACATGGGTAATAGATGGTGGCCATACGGTTGATTCCTTGATGGGTTAGTGGGCCACTTTTTGTCTTCCAAATTTTAATACGGAATAATTAATAACACACTTTAATTTTAGCATACACATAAGAATACTCACAAGTAATAAGATAGTACTAGTTTTATGATTAATATATGGTGCCCCACTCCAAGTGATGCCCTAGGCAGTAGCCTGGGTTCCTTGGCTCTAAAGCCGGTTCTGGGCCGGACGGTGCCTTATGGGTGGACTCGGTTCGGGCCGGGCCCGGACACGAACCGGTGGCTCCCGGTTCCGGGCCGGGCCACCCGGGTCATAATTTTTTTTTTTTGCTTCTCTTATTTAACCCCTTATCCCACCCCCTCAACCCCAAACCACCTCAAATGAACCAAAATACCTAATCCAACCCAAAACTTAAAAAAATTCAAAAAACAAATAATAATTCCGGCCCGGACCGGGCCCGGACCGGCCGGGCCGGTTCACCAAATGGAGGGCCCGGAACCGGAACCGGTATCCACCGGGCCGGTTCGACCCGAACCGCCGTTGGACCGGGCCACCGGGCCGGTTGCTACAGTGGGCGGGCCGGACCGGTTTCGGGTCGGGCCGCCCGGCCCGAGTCCATCCCTACGGTGCCTGCTGTCCATCCGGATGGACATAATCTTTTTCCATAATGAGTATATACTTCTTATATAGAATACTTTGATAGAAGATACGTCGTACGGAAAAACGGTAAGAGTTGTTATATGAGAAAGCAATAGTGGCTAAGATTATATACTGAGTGGTAACTTGGACAAATTTGTTAGATTTATTTATTCTAATCAAGTATAACTACATTCATGTCATATTCATATTAGAAGAAGAATCCATTTTTAATACAGTGGATTCTTAGTATACACACATGGGGTAATTCTTGATTTATATATGCGAGTATGTAGCATGTAGGTCTGTCAAAAGTCAATGGGTTCAGTACTTGAGTTTGGATTTTGGGGTCTAATTCCGCCTTTTTAAATTGGTATGAGTTCACATTTAATTCTCCTAACTCAGGCTCAGATATGCTATAAATTTGTGTAAATGATTCGCATCACATACCAAGGTTCGAAATTACGTATTGCATAGTCATGGCGATTTTATAGAAATGCATATTGAATGAGCCTCATTGGAGTCCTACCTGTTTAGGACCGTTACCGTGTTCAAATTTCTATGTGACCTAACAGAACCATTTCTTTTGAAGCTTGAATGCTAAAAATATATCTTTCGTGTGGAAATAAAAAACTATGTACAATCTTGAAAATTGTTTCACGTAGTATTGACATTTTACACACGCATTACACCTGAAATTTGATAGTCACTGCAAGTACAAAGTATTTGCTCTAACAGATGGCTAAGCTCTCCAGATTTGTAAGAAAGACACGATCACTTTGGGGCAAAGCTTGCAGGAGCAATTTGAAGTAGCTTCTCCGCTTGTTCGGGGAAGAATGTGATGAAGAGAAATGCACCTACGGGTTTGATCATTTAGAAAAAACAGATTGCAGAATGTAGAAAAATTATGGATGCTCATGACAGAAAACTTACAAATTAGCACAGTTCCTAACACAGCTGAAATTTTGCCTTGTACAGTAACTAAACCAGCCTTGCCAGCATTTTGCAACTCCGTGGAACCCACATAATCAAATGTTCCTACAAAATGAAATGTCATCCACACTGAACGTATGCTTAACTTCTAAATAACATGGTAAATGAGTATAAATATACTTCCTGTATTCTTTTTCTAATCGCAATTTGCAACGCTTTGACATCTTTAATATATCTTACTTTGACCATATCTTTTGCTAATATATTAAAAATGAACTACATTATGTAAAATGTTATTTCATTGGCTTAAATATGTTTTTAGTCCCTGCAAATATGACACACTTTGTTTTAGGTCCCTGCAAAATAATTTTTTGGTTTTTTATCCTTGTAATATGCCCTATTTTGTTTTTAGTCCTTTTCCAATTCCAAAACAACTCTACTTAGGAAAAAATTATTGTCAGTTTCATAAATCTATTAGAAATATTTAAATTTATCCTTTTATAATTTTTTTGAGGCTAATATGAGAGCTAAAATAATGTAACCTAAGTATTCATATTTTTAAAATATAAATTAAAAAGTCTTTGAAAAATAACATTAAATACTTTTTTAATACAAAGAATTAGAGAAAATCTATTAGTCGGGATTAGTTTCAAATCAAACAGGTGTTGATATCATCGGTGATGGACTAAAAAGAAAACTAACATAAATTGCAGGGACTAAAAATAAAAAAATATTTTTGCAAGGATGTAAAACAAAATGTTCTACAATTGCAGGGACTAAAAACATATTTAAACCTATTTCATTTGTCTGAATGTAAATTTTCAAAATATCATTTTTTTCAGAATTTTTACTAATACATAATTAATCAAATTATTGGTCAAAGTTTTGCATGTGCGAACATGAAAGTAGAATTGTTGGAACTAAAAAGGAACAGAGGTTATTATATTAGTCCTAGGGTAAATATTACTCCGTATTATAATTGGTTAAGTTAGGATTAGTTTGGGTGTTAGTATATTACCACCTCTTAAGCCCCAAAGGCCTATGACTACACCTAACAGGGAATAAAATTACCCATAGTTATTAAAAAAACCTAAATCCATGTTCCCCCTATCCAAAGTCGGTGTACGAAATGATGGTGGATTGGTGGTGCACGTGGATAGCTTAAGCAAATCAATCATATATATGTGCTATAAGGGTAACTAGATCCATTCTCTTTACAGTACTATCTACTAGTACTGAAATGATGCTCCTATCATGCGCAATCTAACATGAGGTAATGAAAACAAAATTGGTTGTAAGAATGTATACCTGGTTCCACAGATTTAAGCCCTGATGTTATGCATGCTATTTTCTGGTAACCAGCCTCCTCTAACCTCTGTGCAGCAGCAGCAGACCTTAAAGCATACATTAAAACAACAATCAAGATACAGAGTCGAGCAATTTATCATTTAAAGAGTGGTATATTTAGTCCCTCACAACCAGCCTCGATCACAAACCTTATAGGAGATGTAGTTAAAATCATATGTATGTTTGTATTTTTATATTTGGTCAGGTGGGTGACTTGACATTCTCTGGTTCATATAAACAAACTGATCATAAAACGTGTGTATTTGTTAGTAACTGAACCTCTTTTCTGTGAGTTTGTATCTTTATACTTGGCCAATGCAAAATGGCTTCTTATTATCCTTTCTCTAAATGTGATGACATCATGACAGTACAGACTTTTGGGTACTCAACAAAATTAACTGTTAATGCATAATCTCTATTGATCATTGAACGCTCTCATGAACATAACAGTTATAGTTCTAACATGTAAAGTTAGGCATTGTAATGAACCAAATATAGTGTTAAGTTGAGCATTTATTAAAAGAAAATGGAAAGGACTCGGCCTCAGGCGAGCTCAATGGTTTTTATTTAGAATTAGCAGGTAACCACGGAAAAATGACTAAATTAAGTTGTACTTTTTATTAACCATTTGCAGTGTCGTAGCCACGGCTCCACGACCCCAACAATTATGAATTTGAGGTGGGCCGGAAGAATAACTCATTGATATAAATTTTGCTAAAGTTGGGGAGGGCCCAGTATGAAGTTGGCCCCTATTATGCTCCTGTCCTAGAATAAACGTCCCACTTTATATAGGATGTGCCACTATAAACTTCTCGTATCCTTGATCCATCTTGAGAAACTCCCTCCAACATAAACTGCCTACCTTAATCCTTCTTGACAAACAAGTAACAGCTTGCTTTCATGTGAAAATTGGCTTCTAACAGAATGCAGAAATTCAGGATTTGGTTTAGTAAAAGGCAGACCAAAGAATAAACCAGAAAAATTGTTGTGCATAGTTCTCTTTATGACAGTTCCTGTAAACACCAACAACACATAAATCAGCTATCAAAATAACACAAAGTACACACAGTAATTAAAAATAACAAAAAGAAGAGGAAAAAACAAGCGTCAAACCTAAGTCATTTTCTTTATTTTCGATGAAGAGTGGAACATGTTGACATTCTTTTATACGGGATCGCTTGAATTGAGTCTTGTCACGCACATCTAACACTACATACCCATCATCAGCAACAAGTTTCTTTGCCTCATTCGCATTTACAAATTCAATTTCTGCTTTGATCTCCAAAGATCTTCTAAGCTGTTGTTTTCCTTTCACCTTCCCACCTCGATATGGCTTGAGTACTAACCGAGATGCTGTCCCCAGATTGCTGAAAATGCACATCCCTCATCCCTGTCAAGGCTATTACTATATCTCTTTGATGAAATTTGATTTTCAAAGAGTACTATGTGAAAAGCAATACTACCTCCGTCCCAAGACGAAAAGACTCCTTTTTGGGAGTAAAATTCTATATTGTGGTAAGGGACATTTATCATATTTCATATTTTCATATACATGTTATTAAGTGCGCATTTTAGTAACCCATAGGCCATATCCTTCGCCTATCAACCAGATCTTTTTACTGAAAACTATATTTTGGATTTCACGTGCTAAATTACAGAATTATTTAAAAAAAAAAAGGCTAGAGCCAAGAGGTACTTTTGTGATTGAATTTTCTGAAGGGAATATTTTAGCCTTTTCATAGAATACAGATCAAATAAAAACCCTCCCTCCCATGAAAACTAAGAACTGATCCCAACGGTACGTGTACTAGTTATTATCGTTGATCTAGTTTATCATTTGAGGTCTATTTTTGTCATTTCCCCACATCCCATCTTAACGCACGTACTTATTTGATGGTAAAGTAACCGCTGTCGTTAACGGTTATTGTTAATAAACATGCATTTTCTAACTTTTTCCCATTCATTACTCTCCACCGAACCATTACTCTCCTGCACAATTTGTGTCATCATTCACTATATCACACTTAATAATTAATTTGTTGCTATTGATAATGTTTCTCTTGCACTTCAACTACCACTGTCATTTTCCCCCCTCCTCCCTTCATCTGCTGCTCTCACATCTTCACGATTTGCACTTTTTCTAGAATTTGAAGTACTAACATATTAACAACGCCCATACTCTTTAAGACACATGCAGATTTCTAATTTAAAAATTACAATTCTTTACCTTATTCTATGAATCACAAATTACTTTATATCATGAACCACAAAGTTTATCCCCATGCACCCTGAAAAACATGCATAGCAGGCACTAATGAACACAAAAAACAACACGTGTGTAGTCATCATATATTGCACACGTTTCTTGCTCTTACTCATATTTCAACATCACGAAATTACTGATAACGTCACTTTTTCATACTTAACCATCACTAAATCCTATAAATACATCACTTATACAATGCTACCCATTATTTTCTGCATGTCGTTTACAATTTTCCATCTCGCCGAGCTTTTCTTTTGCTATATTTTCCATTGATGATCACTATATTTTCTAAAAGTGAACTTTTAGACATCGAACTTCTTCTACAATTGAAATCCTTCTACGAAATTGCTACTTTTTAATCAAGCATTCTCCGTCTCTAAAAGTGAACTTCTACGATTTTTCCACTTTCTATGACCAACATCACCTTCCTTTCCAGTTTAGCATTCGTATAATTGAACAAGGTACTGGCATATTTACTGGGACTCCTGCGGACGTGATTCCTATTGCAATATAAGGTAATAGGTTTCTACCTTCTTGCCCTTTTACGCCTTACAACTTCGGCTAATTAAGAAGTGGTATCCGATTCCATGCGGTTGAGTCTATCCTATATTCCTATTATATTGCACTACACTTATTATGACCGCCAAATCTTAAAATCTAACCGTGACGTTCCATTCATATTTCTCACGTACAGAAGTGTTTTCATTAGAGCTATACCTCTTTTCATATAACTTCTCCTTTGCTAATAAAATACTCCATAGTTAATAATTTAGCAGATTCTGTAATTTCCTTGATATCAGCACATTGGCCAATTTATTTTTTGGTGTACAGTGAACTTTTTTTTTTATTTCCTTCATTACAGAATAGAACCGGATTGGAACATTTTTTGGGACAGATGGAGTATGAACAATTGATTGGTTTTCCATTTAGCTTCTAAACTACACGACAAGCACATGTATGTATGTATTTTGCATACATCGGAAAAGAAAAACCAATAAAAGAGTTAAAATCTAATAGTTTCTAACCCATTCTCATCTTCCCAAAGTAGACTCTTAATCCAACTAGGGGCCTCTTGTAATATAGTCAACCCTTTAGGTGCTTGATGTGCCGCATTCGCTTAGATGTCTGCCCACTTATTAGTTATTACCTTCTCGATAAGTATTTTTTATCCTAACAAATCTTTCTTCTGCCAAAAGCATCCGACAATCCCGAACCAGTACTCCCAATTTCTTAGCACTTTGTTCTTCTCCAGTCTTAATAGCTTTAAGCACACTCTCACAGTCGACTTCCACAACTACCTTCTTAAGGTCAAGATCACGAGCTAAAAGCAGGTACTGCCTTAAAGCTATCTGTTTTACCAATATTAAAAATGAAACCACTCACCCATTCTTCTTTATTTATTTTGTATCGGACCACCAGCCCTGGCCTCTTTACCCTTGTCCTGGCACGATCCATCACAGTTAAGTTTTAAAAAAGCCATATTCTGGTGGCATCCTTTTAATTGATTTTGATACTTTGCATTGCTTTAGCCGATTACAAATGAACACCCAGTATACATGTATGTATGTATGCCAAACGAAATTGTACGAATCAAGAATCATACTCCCACAGTCCCATTTATGCCACATTGTGTGCCTGAATCATACTCCCACAGTTTCCTAAGCCCTAATACAACTTAAATAGAATCAATTTGACATTTTGTTGCAAACTCATTCCATTACATTTCGCTGCCACTCAGTAGCATATGAAACATTGCCATAGTTACTATTCATGGATCAACCAACCCTACTGTTTTCACTTATTTTCTTCTTGTCCATTACATTTCAAGAAAGCAACAATGTAAAGGAAGATGGGTCAAATACTAGTTTCCTTATATCTCCGCAGATACTTGCAAAATTTAAGTGAGATTGGGAAAGAGATAGATTGACTATGGTTCTGAAATGGGTTGGAAAGTGATAGCATCAAAAAGAAACTAAAACCGAGAGTACCTTCCGAGAAAGATAATTGTAGGAGGCGAGCAGCAACCCATTCCTGCAAAGCTTTATGGCATTCTCTCTTTGTTTTCTCTACGGGTATGCTCGTACAGATACTGACGGCTTCTTCAGTTCTTCTCCCAGAAATTCGACCAGCGTCTGGACTTCTTTGCCACGTGGCGTGATTAAACTAGGTAAGGAATCTCATCCGGATTTAAATCTTCTATACGGAAAAAGAATTTCCAATACAAAAAAACAACAACAAATAAAAATACTTCTTTCCTTATTTCAAACACGATGTCAAACATCAATAAATCTTTTATATGTTTTTGGTAAGTTTTTTTCATAATGTCAAACACGATGTAGACATAATTGAGAAAAAACTTACAAAAAGGCAAAAACACATAACAAAAGGAGAGAAAAATGTCATAACTTTAATTTCTTGTGTCTATTTTTCTCATGTCACATGTGCAATGTGCATGTTGTAACATTTGAGATGCTCTAAAGTACTACACACAATGTCATTTGGATGAAAAAGAAGAGAAAAGGGGGTGTAAGTAATGCAAGGTACCCTTTAAAATTATGTGTATGTCTGGTTAGAGGGAGGAGCGGCGAAGGGGAAACCCTAGCCTCCTCCTCTCCTTTTCCTCTCTTTGTTCAATTTTCTTTTGATTCCAATCATGAAAAAAGTTTTGTTAGATCAATATTTCCAGTTCTATGTATACGTCTGTTTCCTAGCGTTGTCTAGAGATATTATTTTCGGTGGCGAAGTGTCGCTCGCCAGATTTATATTCACAGCCATCATCGGTCGGGTGTTCTTAGGTGTTAGTAAGAGATGTGTATTGGCTTCTCTATCGATCATGAATCAAGATTTCTTCTGTATCAATACAGAGGCTGATCGCCCCCCTCCCGAACCACCGCCGATCAAGGAAGATGGGAGTGAATGGATTGCTTTCTTTCCGGTGGCTGGTGAAACCGGAACAATTTCTGCACTTGGCTCCTTGCCGGTGGCTGAAAAAACCGGCAAGTTTAACAAATCTTTTTCGGTGGCTGCTCAAACCAGACCTATTTCGAGTAGCACGAGCAGTCAAATTGCGGGACGAGTCTACATAGTTGCAGGGTTAGCGAACATAATAGCTTTTATATGGCTTTTTTGTTCTTTGTCTCACCCTAGTGTAGCATTGAACGTTGTGGTTGTAATGATTCAGCTTTTGATTGTTATGTTTCTTGTTACCATTATCAATAATAATTAAGTTATTTGATTTTTAAAAAAAAGTAATGTAGAGGTAATGTGTAAGTATTTTTACACATCTACACATACACTTCAATATATGTTTATGCTCTCTAAAAGAGTAGACACAATCTTAGAAAATATATTCAAACACCCTTAATAAATCATTCTCATATTTTCAATTCATTACTTACATCTTTAGAATGTAAAGGATCCAGGTTTATGTCGTGTTTACTCGGGGAAAACTCTCATCCCTGTTTAACATTTTCCAGAAACCTTCCCAAAATGAAGCAGATAATTTTTTTTCATGGTAAAAACCTCTACAGATGTAGAAAACTACATGTCATACGTATAGACATTGTTCCTTTTCATTAAGATTTCAGGACTCCTAGAACGAAGTATTTGATCGGCCAAGGTTAGGAAGAGGAGAAAGATTGAGTAAAGTAATGGTGGTTTAACTTAAAGAGATGTTGCGACTTCAACATATATGGTGGCTGATGAATTCATGATGTAGAATCATTGTTGTCTTCTCTACTCGAATGTACATGCCCTAGTGTTTTATGATCTCCATCTCCTAACAATGAGACATGATAAGATCACGTGACACATTTTTTTTTTTATTAAATGTGTTTATGTGGTTCAAATTGAAATGATAAAGTAAAAATGATTTACAATCATACAAATTTTACCAAATATGATCCAAGACAATCTTAATGGGACGGATTAAAAAAGTGGAACAATCTTAACTGGACGAAAGGAGAAATAGACTTGGATGTCAATATGTCATCTTTCACCAAGGTTCCGAAAAGGCACCATTTTATACCCACAATCAAATTTATTTACTGAGCAAGTCTCAAACCGTTCAACTGGCATTTGATATTAAGAAAGTGACCTACACACTCTTTACATTTATTTTTTAGAATTCAACGCCTCAGCCTCAAACCAAAGAAAGTACGCATTGCAAATTCGGAGCAGGAAAAATGAAATACGAAGTATTTTCTTATTGTATCACGTGGCCCAATTTTCTTATGTTGAAAATTAACACTAGAGATGCTCTAAGAGTCTAAGCCCAATGTTTTTCGATAAGTGAGAGTTTTAGTTTCACACAGACTGGTATAAGTTGTATTTTTAAGAACTCCTGCGTTTTAGCTTTTAAATGTTCTGAAATTCTCCAAAAGAGACATGGTTGTAATATTTTGGTTCTTAATTTGCCATCTATCAATTATTATAAATTATCGATGGATGCATTCATGTTTCATACAAGATGAACTATTACAAATTTACAATAAACAATGCCCGCACTGAAGTTCATGAAATATCCAAAGGCAAAAAAAATCGCCGCCTTGAGCGATAGACATAAAGATAACACAAAAGGACAAACACATTATTTGATAGCATATATGATCATCAAGCGAGTGAGAATCCAGAGTTTAAGTTGTTTGGAACTGAACACAAGAATAATCAACGATAGAGGCTTTCAGATCTCAGATTCTCTGCAATCTCAGTCTCCCAGCGATCGCCATTCTCAAGCAGCTTCTCCTTGTCATATAGAAGTTCCTAGAAACAATGAAACAAGTGTGGTAATCCAATGTGTGCCAACTAGCTATTAGAAAAAAGGTCACACCTTATGTGTGTACACAAACACCTTTCGTTAATTCATTTGTACACCTTTTTGCATTTTAAAACGAATTGCATGTGTACATAGGCAAAATAGGGAGGGTACAAAAGATGTACCAAAAAGGGCATACAAATGGAAATTTCCAAAAGTAAATGGGGAATGGAAGGGAAAAGTCATCCGCTAAACAATTATAGCATAGAAAGAAACCGTCTCAAGAGAGTATTCTTCTATGGCATCCCCATTACAAATGAATTAAGAAGTTTTACCTTCAACGAAACATATTTAGTGTTTCCAGGGTTAATAAGGGCATGTTCTCACGGAAAACAGAAATGCCACTATATGCAGGAAGAAAATCCATTTTTTCTTGATAAGTTCCGTTTAGGGTCCATTTCGAACATGTACAATAGTAAGGAAGGGAAAAAGATGCATAGGAAAACAACTTTTAGAGGATGGTTTTAACTTGAAAAACACCAAGGAAATTAAATTTAATTAAACTTTTTGGATGTTTATATATTCACGATTATTATTTATTAGTCCACATATAAATAAAGTATTAGCGTAAATTTCATCTAAAATTGATTATTGAGTTTCAAGCAATTTGCTATCCCCCCCCCCAAAAAAAAAAAAATTCCCTCTATTTTCCTTCGCTTCCTTTCTCTAGCATTTCCCAGGTTCCAAACAGGCTCTTAGGTAACAGATATTAAACATAAACAAACCTCATGAGTCTCCGTAGCGAATTCAAAATTGGGGCCCTCAACAATGGCATCAACAGGGCAAGCCTCCTGGCAAAATCCACAGTAGATGCATTTCGTCATGTCGATATCATACCTGCCATATATCCAATTCACACATGAGATAGCCATGGGAGTCAAAGGATGAGAGGGAGAGGGGGGGGGGGGAGGGAGAGAGAGGGAGAGAGAGAGAGAGAGAGAGAGAGAGAGAGAGAGAGAGAGAGAGAGAGAAGTATACCTGGTGGTTCGACGACTTCCATCTTCTCGCTCCTCGGCCTCTATAGTGATAGCCTGAGCTGGACAAATCTGAATGCCAAATCAATCAATCACTTAAAATCAGTGTCACAGCACAATAAAAATTTAGTATAATGGAGTTTGAGGTATTATAACCTAAATAAACACTTACAGCTTCACAAAGTTTGCATGCAATACAACGTTCCTCTCCTGTTGGATAACGTCGGAGGGCATGTTCTCCACGGAAACGAGGGCTCAAAGGACCCTTCTCAAAGGGATAGTTGATCTGCAAGTTTCAACAATTTTATATATACATGAGCTTTTTTTTAACTCTCATATATAAATGAGCTTTAAACTGGAAAAAAACTGCTACTCGGTTAATGGCAGGCCAGGTCAATTGTTTTATATATGGGATCTTAGTATCATCATTCTCTAGTTTTATGGTGCAACACGATCATTTGATATGGATTGTACTCAACTACTCAAATGTAGTCATGAATATATTATCCAGAAAAGAAAATATATTGACAGAATAACTTACTTCTTTTAGAAGAATAAAGTTTACTTTTAATAACAGCAAAACACCAAACAATGCATTAGAGATTTAAAGCAAGGTGTAATTTTTATTTTAGTAAATTCAATCGAAGCAACCCCAAACTTTTGTGGGACTAAGGCTTGGATTTTGTTGTTGTTATTGTAGTAAATTCAATCAAAGTACAAGTTTTTAATTCATATATACTCGGTCACTGAAACCATAAAACGTTAATTCCAAGCTTGTTTGGAGAAATGGAGTAAAAGTATTTGGTGGTTATACATGAATTATACTTCAAACTTACAGTTGACTTTCAGAATCGTTATTTTTTGGATGTAAAATTCTTTAGCAAATTAGGATTATTTATCTGTAAATGATATTCACTTTTCTATTTTATTACTCCCTATGACCCACTAAACTTGGCCAAATTTGATTGACATGTGAAATTGGGTGGTTTAGGTTTGTGTAGAGAGACAAATAAAATTAACCAAAAACTTGTTAGTTTGAAGGGAAAGTAGCAAAGCTTTTGGAATAGCCAAATTAAGAAAGTTGGCAAAGTTTAGTGGGGTAAAGGAAGTATAATTGATAGACTCACGTAAGCTTTGGTTTTTAATACCCTACTAAAAACCAGCCAAGCATTACACTTTAACAGTTTAACCCCCAATGACCACAATGCCACAAGAGCAGTAGCCATTGCAATTCCCAAACAGCCACAAAAAAGTAAGAACAAAAACAAGAGAAAATATAACAGGGACTTACAGTGACATTCTTCTCAAAAAAGTACTTGAGTGTTAGCATCAGACCGCGAACCATTTCAGTTAGAAATAGTGTATTGATGCTCCTCTCAAAAACTGCACATTGTTAACAAGGATTTGGAAT